CATCTCTCTAATGGCTAGTGATCGTGAACATTTCTTCATATGTTTGTTGGCTGCTCGGATCTCCTCCCTGGTGAAGTGTCTGTTCATATCCTGTGCCCATTTTTCAAGCCATGGTATTTTCAATAACCTCATATGCATGCGTAAGCTGGACAGTGAACAAGGAAGACTGTAGAAGAATTGATGCTTTTGAGTTATGGTATTGGAGGAGAATATTGAACGTGCCATGGGCTGCCAAAAGAACCAGCAGATCTGTTTTGGAAGAAGTGCAGCCAGAATGCTCCTTAGAGGCCAAGATGGTCAAACTTCGTCTCTCATACTTCAGACATATTGTCAGGAGGGACCAGTCACTGGAGAAGGATATCATGTTTGGTAAGTTGGAGGGTCAGAGAAAAAGAGGAAGACCCCCAGTGAGATGGATTGGCCAAGTGGCAGCATCAATGGACTCAAGCGTGGCAACAATAGTGAGGCTGGCCCAGGATCGGGCAATGTTTTGTTCTGCTGTGTATAAAGTCGCTATGAGTCGGTACCGACTCGATGGCACCTAACAACAACAATAGGGTTTCCAAGGAGCAGCTGTTGAGCTTGAACTGCCAATCCCAAGGAAGGCATTATACAAGAAAGAGGGAAATATACAAGAAGAGGGAAGTTGGCAGAAGAATGAAAAATATTGGTGAAGATACAGGAAGGTATGCAAGGGCTAAAGGGGATATAGGTAAATAGTGGAATATATACAACCTTGGAACGAGTGTTGTGTGTGTAGATGTAGATACATGGGCAGAGACACAAACTGAATGGATATATATCCCACAAATATATAACAGTTTGAAAGAGTATATTTATATACAGGTAACCATAGGGAGGAAATGGTACAACTGTTGTCACATGGAGGGGATTGCAATCATTGACATGAAAGAAGGTGTATGATTTGTTGAACGTAAAATTGATGATCTTGCCTATATACATTCAATGAATTAGCATAGTTTAAAAAATGTATGTATTTACAGTCTTGGAAACCCTACAGGGCAATTTTACTCTGTCTTATAGGGTGCTATGAGTTGGAATTAACTTGATGGCAAGGGGTAATTGACAGTATACTGGAGAGATGTATCAGGTAGTCTCAGCAGGTTGGTAGGCTTAAAACCAAAGTAGTAGGTAATAGCTTAAAATATCTATACATAGAAATCAAATTGACTACATCTGTGGAAAGAGATGGTGGAAAAGCTCCATATCATCAGCCAAAACAAGGCCAGGGGCAGACTGTGGAACAGACAATCACTTGCTCATATGTAAATTCAAACTGAAGCTGAAGAAAATGAAAACAAGTTCATGAGAGCCAAAATATGACATTGACTATATCGCACCTGAATTTAGAGATCATCTGAAGACCGGATTTGACACATTAAAGACCGAAGGTCAGAAGAGTTGTGGGATGACATCAAGAACATCATACATGAAGAAAGCAAAAAGTCATTAAGGAGACAAGAAGGAAGGAAAAGGTCAATATGGTTGTCAAAAGAGACACTGAAACTTGCTCTCCAGTGTAGAGATGCTAAAGCAAATGGAAGAAATGAGGAGGTCCAAGAGCTGAACAGAAATTTTCAAATATCAGCTTGAGAAGATATAAAGACAAATACTCCAACAAAATGTGCAAAGACCTGGAATTAGAAAAATAAAAAGCAAGAACATGCTTAGCATTTCTCAAGCTGGGGGAACTGAAGAAAAAATTCAAGCCTCGACTTCTGTTATTGAAGAAGTCTCTGGGAAAATTATTTAATGATGCAGAAAGTATCAAAAGAAGATGGAAGGAATACACAGAGTCATCGTACCAAAAGGAAATAGTTGATGTTCAACCGTTTCAAGAGGTAGCATATGATCAAGAGTCAATGATACTGAAGGAAGAAGTCCACGGTGCATTGAAGGAATTGGCAAAGAACAAGGCACCAGGAATTGATGGAATCAAAATTGAAATCTTTCAAGAAAGTGTGGTGGCACAGGAGGTACTCACTCATCTCTGCCAAGAAATTTGGAAGAAAACTATCTGGTCGATTGATTGGAAGAGATCCGTATTTGTGCCCAATCCAAAGAGAGGTGACCCAACGGAATGATAATATCATCGGACTATATCTTTGATATCCCATGCGAGTAAAATTTTGCTAAATACAGAAATGGCTATAATCATACATTGACAAAGAACTTCCAGAGGTTCAAGTCGAATTCAGAAGAGGCCGTGGAACAAGGAATATCATTGCTGATGTCCAATGGATCTTGGCTGAAAGCAGAGAATATCCGAAAGATGTTTACCTGTGCTTTATTGACTACGCAAAGACTTTCGATTGTATGGATCATGACAAGCTATTGACAACATTGCAAAGTATGAGTATTCCAGAATACTTAATTGTGCTCATGAGGAATCTG